TGTTCACCTTCCTAGACCAGGATGGAGGGGGGAGGACTTTGGACTTTCCACAGGGCAGGGAACCCTGACTGCTCTTCAGACTTGAGAGGGAGAGGGAGAGGAGTGGGGGGAAAGGGAGAGGAGTGGGGGGAGGGGGGGAGGAGTGGGAGGCTGGGAGGAGGCGGAAATTTTTTTTTCTCAATTAAAAAAAAATATCTGTGTTTCAGTTTCCTAACCTGTAAAATGAGTCTGACACCAGTACCTTCTTCATAGCTTACTGAGGTTGAAATAATACTTATAACGTGCTTAGTATAATGTCCTTTTGCAGGTCAAATTAAAAAATTTGTTAAAAAAATTAATTTGTTAAGTTAAAAAATAAACAAATAAAAAGTCTTAACACCCCTCCAATGACCTTTTAACTTAACAAAATATTTCCTCACAAATTTATCAGAATGGGCAAACCTCCTTATTAGAAATAATGTAACAGCTAAATGTTTCTACTCACATCTTAAAAATTAAGATGAATTAGAGGAATGTTGGGATGTTAGGAAAGGTGTTAATGGGTTTTTCAACACCTACTAAAAATCTGTTAACAAACTATTTTAAAATCATATTATGAAAGCATGGTGCATGGATATACAATCATTTTATTCATTCTGATATCTCTGCATGTATATTTAAAATAATTTATTAATTTTTTGCAGTCTTAATGAGATATGAAATATGCTTATTGTCATATCGTTATGTGTATATTGCACTAAGCAAAAGTGTACACTGATTTCTTTTTTAAAAGTTACTTCAGTAGGTTCTTGATTTATTTCACTGAATAATGCCATTTGGAAAGCTGGTAACAATTTCTTCTATAATATTGAAAGATGAGATTCAGGGCAATTCAGTTATTTATCTTTATAAAGACTTACTACATTTGGATTTCATACAAACACACATACACTACTGCTTGTCTTTTCTTTGTGTGCCCTAAGGGCAGTTAGCAACTTCCACATTTTCAGACAGAATTGAGCTATTTTACCTACAAGTAAAACTAATGTTAAGAATGAAGAATAATGTTAGCTGATGAGGTAGGCATAGTGGAATCTCTATAATCAGATGGTCAAGAAGGGAAGAAAGCAAGGACTGGCTGGCACTGAATCTCTGTCCAAGAGTATATGAGACATGGTGTGAGGGAGTTAATCTTGTTGCCTTTCCTGGGACTGTAATAGGACATGCATAAAGGATCTATTTCCAAGTCAAAAATATTGAAAAGGGCACTAACATTCCAGTTCAGTCACTTCCTTATTAGTGGAGTTAGTCACCACAACTTAACAAGGTACTGTATTACTATAAAATGCTGATATAATCCTGATATCAAATTAACATTTCATCTAAATTGGAATGCAAACATCTGTAGATGCCATGGAATTAGTACTATAGCAGATACAGTGACCTATGAAACTCAGTGTTCAATCTTTCCCTTAAATCCTATTGTATCAAAAACACGCATGTTATTCAAAGAATCAGGGAAGATGAAGATAAACATTTAATAATGAAGGTGATTAAGTTACATATTGATATTGACCTTGCATTTTCATGAAACTATAACAGAAAGAAAAAATGTTCATTTTTAAATGGGCCTCTAGAAATGAAGTTCCTCAACCAGGGTTTTGATTTTCCTCAGTAAATAATGAATGCTCTTTAAAAAAGTAGCAACAATTTTTACTCCTAAGTAATAATACACAATATTCTTAGCAGTTGGACTTGCCTTTTATGGCCTTCCTTTCTTCAATAATTCAAATGTTCCAGGGCCATTCTCTATTTTTTTCTCTGTATACACAAGTCTGTCCATGCACGACAGAATGGAACACACTGTATATATAAATGTGTTTGATTGATTACTGCTCTTCTAAGGTTCAATCCAAACTTTCTACCAGCTAGTCTACTCTGAATCAAAGTGGCCTCTTGTTCCCTCTTCAGCTTCATCTCTAACTACCAATTTTGCTCTTGAATAGGCTGGCTGTCTCTCATCTTGAGATCTTTGTTCAGGATGTTACTCAAAATTGGAACCAGGCTCTAGAGGAAGCTCAGTGATTGCATGGCTCTTCTGAGTTGTGATGATAACAAAAGTAGCCCCATTCACAGGTTATCAAAGAATACTGTTTTTAGATGCCCTTCATATGTTGCTGGAAAGAATAATATGATTTGTCAGCTATTTAAAGGGCTTGGCTGAGACATTTTAGTTTCTTGTAGAGGAAGAGACAAGGAATATGAACTTTGGGAAAGGGAAGGTGGACATTGAAGCTGATGAAACTCTAATCCACAAAGATAAAAACATTTTTTCTAACCTAGTTTTATGAGATTAGGAAAGATAATTTAACATAGTAATCCTGAGGGACAGTTCAAGAATAAAGTTCTTAACTCTTTCACATCTTGCATACTTAGATGTCATACTTTAACAATATGGTAGATTTGATACTTTGAGCATTAAGTTCTATTTCTCCAACTACTAATTCAAGATCTCATAATCTTTTCCATGTATGTACATATTCATGTGTGTGCACTTGAACATGGGCATTTACATGGGGATGCACATGTATGCACACCTGTGGAAGTCAGAGGTTCACTTTGGATGTCCAGAATTCTCTACCTTTTTTGAGGCAAGGTTTCTTACTGAAATTTAAGTTTACCAGTTAGGCTACACTACCTGTCTAGCAAGCCAAGAGATCTTCCTGTCTCCATGGCTCTCCTGTGCTGGAGCTATAGGTGTGTCTTACCATGCCTGACTTTTTTATATGGGTACTAGGGATCTGAACTCTGGTCCCCCTGTTGTATGACAATCACTTTTAGTGACTGTGCTATCTCCCCAGCCCAATTTAGTCTATTTTCAATGGTCAAGTGGAAGTGGAAGCTACAGTTCTATTGTTAAAACAAACTCTATCCTAAGTAGCCTGAAACATGTTGAAGCTTTAAAGGAATGTTATTGACTAACAAGATTTTCAGCTTCTGCATGGTTATTATTCTGGTTTCTCATAATTCATCTGGGATGGATTTAATGGCTTTGCCTTTGACCTTTCAAGTGATGCTCCTTCATTAGAACACTACTACATGCCGATGTGATCATATGGTTTTAGCCCAAAATTCTTTAATGAGCTCTTTATATTACTGTGGGAGTCTCAAAACTCCATTACAAAACTCCTGATCTAACTCTGCCTGCATTTGTAGGTAATGTATTGACTCTTCCTCATACAATGACTCACAGGTTTTCTTTTTAACAAACTAGCAATTCTGAACCTCGTGGAATCCCTGGAACATCTCGTTTGTGATAATTAGCATTTACATTCTCATTAAAATATCACTACTCAAACTTTTCATTCTTGCCTCAACTGCTGCCCATGATGACACTTTTTCTTATTTTTCCCAGAGTATGGTATCTTTCCTTGTTTCTACACTTTTTGCATACTCCCATATATAAGTTAAATTAAATTGGAAATATCAGCATATTTCCCCCATATGTGCTTTTGCATATGCATTTGTGTGTGTGCACATACATGGAAGCCAAAAGTTGTCTTTGAATGTTTTCTTCTACCACCCCCTCCATTCACAATATTTTCAAACATTTATATATTTTATGTTCTTGGTGCTTTGTGTACACATATGTCTGTGTACCATGTATGTGTCTAGGGCCTGCAGAGGCCAGAAGAGAGTGTTGAAACGCCTGGAACTGAAGTTACAGAAGGCTGTGAGCCTCCATGTGGGTGCTGGGAATATAACCCTCATCCTCTGGAAGAGTAGTCAGTGCTCTTAAGCACTGGGCTAGTTTTCTAGCCCCTTTACTTTACTTTTGAGAGGTCACCCACTGAACATGGAACAACTGATCCAGCTGGGTTGTCTAAGCAGTGAGTTCTGAGTATTTTGTGTCTACTTCCCTAGTACTAGGAGTACAGGACTGTGTGGTTACAAATGCCGCTATGCCTGACTTTACCTGTGTGCTAGAAATCTGGATTTGGTCCTCACACTTGTGCAGCAAAGAGATTTCCAACTGAGCCATACCCCCAGCCCCAATCGTGTGCGGTGTCTTGCCAGTTTTCCTAGCTAGCAGAAAGCAGGTGGTCCTTTTGAAGTGTTATCATGAAATATGAAGCATTTGATCTCTAATCTGGATTTCTGGACCTTCCCAAGTATTTATTAACATACAAATCTTAACTACTCTTCTTTATCAATACTGTGCCTATTAAGTTATTTCACTAAATAGGATGTTGCTACAAAATAGGAATACTTTGATCACATGAGTTGTAAAATGAATCAATCCCTAATATTTTTTTTCTGGATGTGAGATTTATTACTGAACATGATTTGGTAGGGTACAGGAGAGCACCATGAAAGCCCTCAGGAGTGTACGGCTCGCCACTTGTCCAGGGGACCACGATTAGGAATATATTTGACCCCACAGCCATCAGGAACGAGTCACTTCTCAGCAACCATGTCTTCAAATTCATCTGCATTAAACTTAGTAAAGCCCCATTTCTTTGAGATGTGGATTTTCTGGCAGCCAGGGAATTTGAACTTGGCTCTACGAAGACTCTCAATCACATGTTCCTTATTCTGCAGCTTAGTGCGGATGGACATGATGACCTAGCCAATGTGAACCCTGGCCATTGTGCCCTGGGGCTTCCCAAAGGTACCACACATGCCTGTCTGGAGCCTACATTGGAGACAGCATTGAGATCAGAGACTTGAATAAGTGCCAGAAAATTGTCTCCAAGGTCCCTTAGGGCAACCCGTACAGGTATCAGGCTGCGTACACTACCAAGGAGGCTGCTGTTTGCAACCATTGCACACCAGGGCCCCAAGGGGAAAGGAACCTGGTCGGCTTAATTAGTTGCAAAAATCCCTAATAATTTTAAGGTCAATTTTTAATGTTAGAGTCTTTTATAAAAATAGTGCAATGGGAAAAAATTGGATTTTAACAACAAAAGTAATTTGCCTTCCAAGAAAAGCTATATGAAAGACTTTTGGAGTTTACTTACATGGTACAGTGTGGTTTCTGGAACTGGTGTGCTCAAGATGTCTTGTCTCAATGCATCCATTTGCAAACTAGGTAGCAGTGAATAGTGAGTTGGACTGTTACTCTTATCACCCTTCTTTTTTGACTTCTTTCCTGTGTCTTTTTTGCTGTTTCTCTGAAACATGTTTTCTTCTTGAGCAATTTTTTCATTGCTCATATAGCGAAGTAGAGAGTTTTCTACATAAAAAGAGAAATACACTGACATAAATATGCAAATATCTGAAGTGTACCATTCTTTCCAAATCGTGCTGTAAGATTCCACTCATTACCTTGATTTAACTTACAATATATGTAGTGATAATAGTAGAACGTAATTATTTGGTATCCTAAGACAATAAGACATATCCTTTGGATTATTTCTTCTGGTCTGAACTCTGGAGTAACTACATCTAAATCGCCTGTAGAACTTAAACTTTAAGCTCTGTATGGGTGGGACTTACACTTTTTAGGAAGCTCCGAGGAAAAGTCTCCTAAACCTTGATGATAAACAATAGCCTCCAATGTTTTGGGTAACATTCTTGAAGAAGTTAAAGCCACATTATAAACTTAGTTCATAGAATCCTTCCTTAAATTAGTAGTCAGCATTTAGTAGTTACTATAAAAATTTCCCACAGGATGTCACTATTGTAAGAAGTCCCAAAGAATCTTAGAGATGGCATATCATAAACATTTTAATTTTTTCTTGATTTGTCCAATAAAATTAATGAGATTAGATACTGAAGCTTGGAAAATGGAATTAATACATGTATGCAAAGGAATCTGACAGTGTCCTTGAACTTCTCAACATTTTTAAATCTCACTCTAAAAAAAAAGTGTTAAGGAGACTTATGAAGCAGACATTTATGCTTGCTTGCCCAGGTGATCTGTGGATGTTTTACAGTTTATTGGATAGAAATGATAAGTAAATGGGTCAACCATACCATAAAGGAAGCCTAGTTTCTAGGAACGGCTTTTGTTTTGTTGTCCATCTACAATTTATGGCTCTTCTGAAAGTAGAAGGAGCATCAGTAGCTGGGCCCATCTTATCTACACTTGGGAAGTCTACTAAGCGGTGAAGGTTTCACTTGCTCCTCCTACTGCTCACCTCAGTAATAGCCTAAGTGAATCTAAAAACTTACTTTGGGTAGATACTTAAAAAGTAGCCCACTCCCAGGTAAGAGAATAACCCTGAACAGCAAAGAACAGAAAAAGCAGAAAGCACCGGTTCCCCCAGTTCTCTGTGGTTTTTGTTAGGAGTCACCGGCCCAGTTTCCACCATACATTTCTTTCCAATCTACGTGCTTCAATGCTCATGATAAGGTTCCATCACATGAGGTTTCATGGACGAAGTCAGCTGCACTGCTGATTAATTGGGACTGATGACAAAACTGGTTCTATTTATTGAACTGAAATGAATTCTTTTATGCAGTTTCACACTTCTGACCTTGCTTCCAAATATAAACTTTCAATTTACAAATCTTCTTCTTTCTCTGTGTAATTATCTGCCTTGAACATCTTAGAAGGCATTCATATAAAACACCCATTACTAATGTTAAGGGGAATCAAATATTGGTCTGGCTTCACTTAGTAGTACTGTCAGTCAATGACAGTAAGTTTTTGCTAACGCCATAGTAATCTATTTTAAAAACATTTAATTTTGCTTTTTGTTCAAATAACCCAGCCTACACTGAAATTCTAGAACACTTACCTCTTCTACTATCTCTCTTCATCTTATTTGGATCTTCATAGTCCCCCACCCAATTATATTCGACTGGCATAGATATAGGTCGTAGCTTGCCTAAACACAGAGAACAAAGTTCACATCACATTGTTTTTCTTCCCCAGGTAGGCTTATACTTTTTATATTTTCAGCTACAGTATACAAAACACACTCTCATATGCAACGTTATGGTTGGCATGTGTGGATGAAGAAAATGTGTGTTTTGAGCCAGAAGGTGAAACTGCCTCTGCGAACTGTCCAGATAATACTAGTTTAAAGTGCTTCTTAGAGTTAATAAAGAATATCCCATGTTTGCTCTCGTTGGAGTCCTGGATAGTAAGGTTATATAATATTTTACAAAGAAGATCACTATTTCCATATTTCTTTTCATTAGTTTAGTAATAGATTTTAGTCTTATTCCATAATGCCTTTAAATCTATGTTATTGCTAGATACTTCTAAGGTAATGGAACCTTGCATTTAACCTTACTTTTAGAAAGAACATTAACTTGCTGTTTCTGATATACTATCACAAACTAACTTAATTTTAACTAAATTATAGCAACATGCACTTGGATATTACCCTGTCTTAGCAATATGTGGATTCTGTTTCATGGCCTTAAACCTAGACCTGCATATTTTGATACAATAAGTATGTCTGTCTAGTTTGTAGAATCAAGTAGTCACTTCTTTGTCCAATTTCTTTCTGGGTCTTTTTCCTCAATAAATACCACTTTAATTTAGTAAGCAGCAGTCATAGCAAAGACTTCACGTAGTAGACCCTGGTAGAACAGTCAAGTATTTTGTTCAACTTAAATTTCCTGAAGTACAGAATAGCCAATGAAAATCAAATCACCCAAAAGTTGACAAAAGATATATATGACAAAAGGTCGTAGTTTAATAAATTCTGAATCAATGAAAACCAGAAATCTATAAAACTTGGATCATAAAAACAAGATATCACAACAATAAAAGTGCATATAAACACTAACTCTATGTCATGTACTTCCTAAGAGTTTTATAAGAATTGGAACATTAAAACCTTATGCTTATTAGGATAAGGTTTACCTTTTTACCATGAGAAAACTGAGACCTGTTAAATAATTTGTCCAAGGAAACACATCTGGTAAATGCCTAATATCAGGATTCAAATCAAGGCATATGAATACCAGCTGTGACATAATTTTTGGTGACATTTACCATTTTCAAAGTACCACTTTATATATTTCTAATGAAACTGCATATAGAATGGCAGATTCAGCAATCTTTTCTCTTTTAATCTTTCAGTTAACCTCTTTCTTCACTGCATGAATTAAATTAGATTTTTGTCAGATAATTAACATGTATTAATTATGAAAACTAAGAGGGTTAATTCTATATATACATGTAGATAGCATATTTAGGTCACATTTACTGTCCTTTACTCTTCTCTTGCTGATCCCTTCTTTTGCATCTCTAGAAGTTACCCTTATAGTTTCATGTCTTTTTTATGTACCAGCCAAAAAAAATTAAGAAATGTAGGAGATTTTAACTCCTCTAGAAAAATACACCAACCTTATACCTTTGAATTATCTATACAGATAAAATTTATTTAGTATATTTTGCTAGGCTATTTTAAAGTCTGAGCATTGACTGGACATGATAAAATTATTAATGAGGCAGCACTGTGGTATTATTTAATCTTTCAAGGCTTGCAACTGCCTTTATAAGTTGTCGCTTATGATTTTAACATTCTTATGTAATTTATCTCTGCTCTTTTTGCACAGTAACAATGAGTGAGATGACGTAGTTCCGTCTATTCTGCCCATCAAGGGTAGGGCGAGCAGGTAAGAAGTCGTCTTTGAAAAATTCCTATTCCATTGCTTTATTGATCAGTTCCCCAAATTTTTCATTTTATAAGTGCTACATTTCCAAGACAGCCACAACTTATTCTTTTAGCATGCATACCAAAACTAATGCAGCTAATAGCACCTTTACATGCCACCAAAATATTGTTTTGAAAAGCAAAAATCTAATAAATAAGAATTATTCATTTACTATCAAATAAACAAACAGTTATGTATTGAAAAATGCGTGTGTTGGTTTTAAAAGCATTAGTAGTCTGGAGTCAAGTATCAACACAAGAAGAGCAGAGACATTTCTCACATAGCATAGGACACGCAGAATGTAGTCATTGCAACTGGGTAATATCTAAGATGCTAACAGAGTTAACCCATTAATTTATGTTTCAGTTGCTAGAGGAACAAATATGTATATGACTTTTATACTGATGATTCTGGAAGTCATTATTTAACTTAATTATACTGTACATTACCAAAACAAAATTGAAGGAAAATACAAAGACTTCAGAAAAGGCCAGAAAGAATTAAAATTCCTTTTTCGAGAAATCAGATGTGCTGGTTGATTTTTGGAAACCTTCACAAACCTAGACATATCTGAGAAGAGAGAATCTTAATTGAGAAAATGTCTCCATAAGAGTAGCCTATAGGCAAGCCTGTGTTTTGTTTTTATTTGGAGGGAGGGCTGATGATTGATGTGAAAAAGTTTAGCCCAGTGGTGCCATCCCTGGGCAGGTGGTTCTGTGGAATATAAGAAAGCACACTGAGTAAGTAAACCATTAAGCAGTTTTTATTAGTGGCCCATTCTTCTATCCCTTTTTCCATGACCTGATTTACCTGTAGGATGGGCTATGAGGGACATATATGTTAGTTGAAATGAAAAGTTGCTTTTGGTTATAGTGTTTGATCACAGCAATAGAAATCAGGGTTGTGTTATTATTATAAATCCAACAATGAAAATTTAAAATAAATATTTAAAAAATAGGTAGACATTGACTTAGGTAAAACTAAATAATTTTGCTTGTCAATATTAGTTTTTTTTTCTTTTGGGACAGGGTTTCTGTGTGTAGCCTGTCTCTCCCAAAAGTCTCTCTGTAGACCAGGCTGTCCTCAAACTCAGAGATCTGAGTGCTGGAATTAAAGGTGTGCACCACCACTGCCCAACCTCAATGTTACTTTAAAATGTCCTCTTCCACTAAAATATAGAAACAGATTTATTTTCATGAGATACTAAGTTCAAATGGTAAAAGAACTTTATAGTTGTAGTGTACTTAAGTATATACTGTGATTTATGCATATATTTTAAGATCATATACTTAAGAATTCAACAAAAACATTGGCTCACAAAATTAAAACACATTTGATCTACCATTACATAAATGTTTATAAATCTATAAAAACTACTGTGGAAAATGTACTATCTTTACATAGCAGTGCATTAAGTTTTGAGGATGCAGTTAGTATTATTATTTTATGAGAAAAATTACAGAGAGAACTGCCGTCAAGAAAGGAAAACTACAGCTCCTCTAAATTTTTTTTGTTATTCACTACCTCTTAGAGTAAAATGTTATTTCTAAAAGGATAGGGCATCTGTTACTTCTGGAGTTCACTTTGAATCTTATCCAGGAGCCTGGTCACACTTCTGCATTAATACCTTATCGTCTAACCAATGCTTTGTTATTTAGATGTGCTGTACATCTGGAGTTTTCTAACTGGCATCATTATAGTAGCTGGGGTTGTACTTTTTATTGTAGTCTAGTAAGTGTGAATAAATATTTTGTGGTTTGACTGAATATTATTTCAAGATTAATGGCAAGCAGCCTTTAAAAATATGAACTATGTTTAACTGAAAACTCCCCACAAATGGGATATGATTTTCTAATGTTAAGATTATAGGTAACAATAGAGTAGTTTATAACGATGTATCTAAATTATTCTGAGGTAAAATTTACTAAAAAGATAATAGCTTCTTTAACACTAGTACATATAATTGCTTAAAAATAAATGCCTTTATTAGGTGATATTAAAAATACTAGAATGCCAAATGACAGAATGATTTGCTCAACCTGTTGTATTCCCTTAGCATCATTCCCGATACCTTTGGTATATATACAATGCTTACTATACTATATTGTTGCTGTCTACGTAGATGTTGCTCTACTTCCTCTCAGTAACCAGATCTTACATAGCTTTGTTATGACTATCCATCACAGGTTCAGAGATGGCATTCATAAAAGGATGTCACATAGTAAGGAAACCACAAGTCATCAGATTGCTCATTTGAACTTATTGCCTCTCACCCTAAAGGCATTAAAGAGAATGCCTTAAAGCAACCCTATAATCCACCAACCCAGCACTTTGTTAGCTTTCTCTATTTCATCAAAATCACCATCAGAAAGCTGCTTTAGATGACCAACCTCCAATTCTTCTCCATATCCTCTCTTGAATGCTTGCTTTGCCTTACTACTCCACCAAAACATCTACTACAAGGACACTAGGACTTCCACATTGCTAACTTGAACTCAGTTTAGACCTCTTGACCTTTCTGCTGTGTCTGCAGCATTGGTGATAGATTATTCTTTCTTTGAAATGCTGTTCATACTCCCCCCCAGGGGTCTGTCCCTCACGTTTTACTCTCTTTTCTCTCTAAATTCACATGTATCATTCAGAAGTAAGCAGAGACACCTACTTCTTCCATGACATAATTCTTGTTCATTTCTTCTTGTTCTTCATGATATACCAACTTTGTTCAAATAAGTAGTGATTTAGTTGAATGGTTTATGTCTTTCTTTTAGGGAAATTAAATATAAATTTAATGAGAAAAAACACGCCTCTGCTGTAGTGTACTCTTTCTTTACTTGCGGTATTCCCATACTCTGAATAGTGCCTTAAATGCAACAACTGTTCTGTACTTTTAAGCAGCTTGTTAAAAACAAAACAAAACAAAATAACAACAAGGGGTTTCTTCATGCACTGGACCCGACCATCTATGCTCTAAATCACACCTCAGTGTTTGTATTTTCATAGCTTTGTTCCTCTTCCTTTCTTTCCCATCCATCCAAGGTAGTATATCACTCTGGTCCATGCACTACATTTGAAACAATTTTAAAAGATTTTTATTTGTATGTCTGTGTGAGAGTCTGTCATGGGCATGGATATACACACACACACAACTCTGGAAGAGCAGAAGTACTCTTAATCACTTCATTATTTAAAAAAAAAGGCCAAATTGAGCTTTACA